AAATAAATAAGAATAAAAAACCTCTTGACGAAATGGCCTGATTAAAACGACGAAAATCGTACAGCCAGCAGGCACCTTTTTTCTCTTTATGAGCTGTCTACCATTAGTAAGAGTGCGATCATGGTTCTCCACAGCTTTATATCTCTTGACATCATTTGTCGTTTTACCAAGCCATCCACCCGCTGATCTGCATCTATTCCCAAGAGCTCGACAGGCAGGTGGCTCACTTTCTTCATCCATTCTGTTTCCTTCGTTATGTCCAGAGTGATAAATCTTTTTACGGCTTAACAACCCCTTTCAGGTTATTTAAAGCTAGAAACTATTTTTAGATTTTAAAAAATTATTTTGGAGATAATAATGGTTTAGTGATACAAGTCTTGCGAATTAACCCATAGCTAGGCGAGAAGAGGTGGATTTATACTTTCTCAAAGTAAGTAAGTGAATATAACAAACCCAACTGGAATTGGAACACGGTTCTCAAATTAACAATTCCGAACGATTATCGATTACACTACCGACGCATTCAACCTTGCAGCACCTCGTATTCCCAACCGGTCACCCATATAGGCATTGATCAGACTCAACATTACTTTACTTCGGTGATCGTACGGTGTTTTCACGTGATATGTCCGAAAAGCACATTTTTATTTCGCTTTTCTCCTAAACCATATAGATGCTCCTGATTGCAGAGCATGTTAAAAGGTATGTATTATGAAGTATAGTCTAAGCGCTTGTCGTGATCTTCTCAACGATTTTATATGTCTCCTCTAGAGAACTTTTCTTAAGAGAATACAAATAGAGACAATCCTAATCTACTTGAAGAAGGTTGGTCTGTATCACAAATTATAGCACTAAATAACGCCGCTTTAAACACATAACTGGACAGCAATGGTACCATCAACTCAAAGTATTGTTTGCAAGCCATATATTAAAAATACCTATTCGGCATTAAATAAACGATACAATTGATATGCCGTTAATACATAACAGAATATCAATCATCATTTCTTTTAACGAGTCATTTCGTCTTCCTCATTTTGCTTTCTTTGAATCGGATAGTGTTTCAAAACAGCTTCTGTGTATTGGGGGTTCTTTACGTTTTCTATTTTTATTAAGACTTCTTCCTTACTTACGCGCTCCAAAATTCTCAGCATCATTCTGTATAACATTTCTGTTGCCTCCATTTTTTTCTCTGTGAAGAGATTGCTCACCTTTCCCTGATACATAAAATTATTAATATAACAAACAATTCAATATTCTTGTTTTTGTTTCTAATGAAATTATTTTGGTTTTTAATTCTTTGATAAATCTTTGGAATGCATCATTTGCATGTTCAGGTTTTCGTGTCGCATATTCCACCGTCTGTTAAATTCTAAGACATATCAATTTTTGTAGTTGTTTGATATTGACATCTTCAAATCGTAGTTCGCCTCTTGGGCTTTTTCTCCTGTTAAAAATCCTATATTTTATCATTTTTCAGTTAGTCTTTTCTTGACACTAGCCTTTAGTACAGCGCTTCTTAAACTATGGGTCGTGACCCCAAATGGCGTCACGAAGCGAAATGCTGAGGTCGCGAAAATTAAAATTCAAACACTTGAAATCGCTGAGGAATCGCGTGACTCAAACTTGAAACTTTACAAAAAAACTTTGACTGAATTCTGGATCGGAGCTAATAACTGAATTTAGGCATGGCATGTGGAACAAGAACAGTCTACCCCAGTGAGTGAAATAGAGGGTTCTGTTCGACATTACAACCATCTGAAGAAGGCCGCAGCGTACAACGGCCGAAACGTGGTAATAAATATGGTGACAAAGATGAGGATAATAGTCCGAATAATGTAAATAGTGTACATAATACCTCATCTCAGAAATATAGACAGATACTGAAAGGCCGAAATGTTGTAATAAATATGGCGACAAAGATGAGGACAATAGTCCGAATAATGTAAATAGTGTACATAATACCTCATCTCAGAAATATAGACAGATACACCAATATACCTTGTATAAATTTATACATGTATATTATATACATGTCTTAATGAAAACATGCTGCCGAAATATACGCATATCTATCTATCTATCTATCTATCTATCTATATATATATATATATATATATATATTAATGACAATAGGAAAGCTGTAGTTATTGGTGACGCATTTCGTCCAATGTGGACGCGTCAGTAATAACTAAAGTTTTCCTTTTGTTATTTGTATTTATAAATATTGTCTTTTCTACAGGTTAACTTTCATTATATATATATATATATATATATATATATATATATATATATATATATATAATAAAAAGGCTTAAACACTAATATTCCATGGTCATAATTTATTCCATTGGAATCGTAAATACGATCCAAATCATCAGACCTACAAATTCAAAATGAAAACAGAAAAAACAACAAATTTAGAGAAAGAGTAAGTATGAGGAGGGGGGACATGAAACCTTAACAGAGAGAATCGACAGATCGACTTTCTTTCTCTCCTCTTTTTAAATTCCCCCACCCCACACACATCTCCTAAAATTCTCTCTGTTAAGGTTTCATGTGCCCCCTCCTCATACTTACTCTTTCTCTAAATTCGTTTTTGATTTCCGGAGTTGTTTTTTCTGTTTTCATTTTGAATTTGTAGGTCTGATGATTTGGATCATATTTAGGATTCCAATGGAATAAATTATGACCATGGAATATTAGTGTTTAAGCCTTTTTATTATATCCTTACTCTGTCCTAGACATTGAGTTCTACCTGGATCCTTCCTCTTGGAAAATTTTTTTCTGAAAATATACATGTATGGGAATTTTTTAGATATATTTTTCATATGTATGTATATTTTCCACTAATATTATCTATCTATATATATATATATTTATATATATATATATATATATATATATATATATATATATAATGCGTATAGTGAAAGAAACAGAGAGAGAGAGAGAGAGAGAGAGAGAGAGAGAGAGAGAGTGAATTATATGAAAAAAGAAATCACTGGTTAGATTCAGAAGTAAAGGATTTAAAATGATTGACTCTCTTTGGATAATTGGCCTGTTGCTCACGCGGTGGAAATCTCTTAAACGCTCTTGAAAAAGGCCCGACTTTATAACTTGCGCTGGTGAATGGTACTGAGAGGTGAAAAATCGGGGATAAGGAAGGGTGAAATTTCATCTGTCGGTTTAGATGCATGCCCGACAGTCCTGCGGAAATGAAAGTATAGCGAGGAGCGAGACGAAATGAAAAGCGCTGAAACTCACAGCCATTTTACCTTTTGTTTCTCTCTCCTTCCCGCGTTTTTTTTTTCTGTCTGGCATGATAGGTCCGCTTTTGCCCCTGAGTAAGAGCGCCATGCTACGGTACTTTGCATCAATGCGTGGCACTGGCCTATTATGGCATTTGTTCTCCAGTTAGCACTCCCAGCCAATGATGGGCATTGAAATCACAGACGGCTTTCAGAGAAGAATAGAGGAGTTAAACGTCACCTAGGGTGTTTGCGAATCGGAAACCCATTTTATGGGATGCGGTGTCAGCGAAGGGAAGTTTAACGTCAAAAGGTAAAAAGTATGTACAAGAGATTAAAGATGTAGTGAAGGCAGAAAGAAAGAAAAAAATGATAACGAACAAGAAATATAAGACCATTAATAACACCCCTACCTCACAAAGAAAGAAAAAAAAAGCAAGATCAGAACTTTCTAAGACTATTACTACTCGGGAGGCTTGGGGACCTCGATGTGATGTAGTGGTTAGAAAGCCTGCCTTGCTAGATCAGTTACGACTCAGTAGTTCGATCCTCATTTGGTAACCCATAATTTCGGGCTTGTGCCGCATCTAAACCGCGCTTAGAATAATTACTAATATTCAGCAGAAATATATATATATATATATATATATATATATATATATATATATATACACAGTGTAATCCCGGATATAAGAGAGTTGTTGGGACCGGAGAAGAAGTCTCTTATATCCGGGTTTCTCTTATATCCGGGTCTCTTATATCCGGGTTACACTGTATATTAAAGATTTCTCGAGTATTTTAGCCGGTAGACGAAAAATAAATAAATATACTGCTTAATAAATAAACGGAGCGTCTACTCGAATACGAGTATTCACCAAAATAATCTTTAAGTAATAATAACAATGTTGATAATATATATATATATATATATATATATATATATATATATAACTTCTATGTTCACTTTTATATTTACAAACGCTCTATCTCTGATATAGAGCACTTTATCCCATAAATATAGCACACCTTAAGACTATATTTCTTCATATATATATATATATATATATATATATATATATATATATAAATATGTGGTGCATTTCAATTTATATTACAATGAATCATTCTTGCAAAAAGTAAATTAGTAAAGTTAATGATATAAAATGGCGAAATCCCTTCACTAACAAAATTTACTTTTTGCATGAACCATTCATTGTAATATACTACTACTACTACTACTACTACTACTACTACTACTAATAATAATAATAATGGACTCTCCCGTCGTTTTCGATGTATGAGGATTTGACAGCTTAGTTGATCCAGTTATGAAAGTGTGTGCAATAATCTTAAGTGGCATTCAAGACCGGCTAGTGATTTACATAGGAGGCCACATATGGAGGAAGTGTGAGGATTGGCAGATGAGATCACTGTTAGATTGGCTGACCTTTTAGTTCATGCTCTTGCTTCTTGAAGATGATTCAGACAAGCAGATTGAAAATTGCTGAGTCCACTAAAACATGTTGACCAAGGCTAAGCGCTCAAAAGGGTGTTATGTGGCATGTTATGTATATATTGACAGCTGACACACACACACACACATATATATATATATATATATATATATATATATATATATATATATATATATATATATATATATATATATATATATATATATATATACAAATGGATCTTATTATGCATTCAGCCCAAGTAAGTCAGTAAAGCCACTAAAATTCACATAACGTTCAAATACCGGTTCTCGTATGATCACCGAAGTTAAGCAACGTCGAGCCTGTCAGTAACTAGATGGGTGTCCACATGGGAAGAAAAGGTTCTGTAAGCTTGGATGGTGCAGTTAAATTGTAATGGCTCGGATCTGTTAACTGAAGAGACGAGTGCCAATTCCAACTGCGTTCGTTAAACTCACTTCGGCATGAATATCCATGGGAGAGATAGAAATCCACCTCTTCTCCACCAAGTGATGGGTTAATTAGATAGTGATTTTCCAAGCGTACGGGGCACCCAGTGAGGATCGAACTCACTACTAAGTCGTAACTGTTCTAGGGAGACAAGCTTGCTAACCATTACACCAATTCGAAGTGTCCAAAACCGCTGTAAGATGTAGCTTAGATGTGGCAAAAGGCCGAAGGATGGGGGCACCCGGTGAGGATCTAACTCAATACTAAGTCGTAATTATTCTAGCGAGACAAGCTTGCTAACCATTACACCCCCTCGAGGTGTCCTGGGTTAATTATGTAGACTTGTAACAATAAACCCACTGTTATCGCAAGAAGAAAATGTATAAAAAATATTTAGATTTTGGCACTAAATAAATCAAAGAGAATGATATGCCGCTAAACAAAATAATAATAACAATAAAAAAAAAACAAAAAAACAGACTATTCTTGAAAAACCGGTTCCCGTACTATCACCAAAGTTAAGCAAACATCGAGCCTGGTCAATTCCTAGATGGGTGACGGTTTCGGACTGACTCTATAAGCTTGGATGTGCGGTTCGTGTAATGATTAATGGCGCGAAATTGTGCATCGGAGAGTCGCGTTTCAATTCCAGTTGGACTCGTTATATTCCATTACGCGCAAATATCCTTGGGAAAGGCATGAATCCACATATTCTCTCCCACCGAACTATGGGTTAATTAGTAACAATTTTATGACTGAACCCATATTATCTCCAAAGTAATTCTTACAATCCAAAAATATGTTCAGGCTTTAAATAACCTGCAAAGGGCTGATAAACCGTAAAGAAAGAATCAATCGATCAAATAAATCAGGACATATCGAAGCAAACAGGATTAGATGAAGACGCACGAGCCACCTACGTGACGAGCACTTGTAAATGGATGGTGAACATCCGGTGGAAGGCTTGGAAATAATGGCTTGGAATCGTTAATCAGAGAGTCGAGTTCCAATTCCAGTTGCGTTCGTTATATTCACTTACGCGCAAATACTCTTGGGGAACGTATAACTCCATCTCTTCTCCTCCCCGGCATGGGTTAAACATTAAGACTTGCATAACTAAACCATTATTAGTTTTAAAAATGCTAACAGTCAAACATATTTTCTTGTTTTAAATAACTAGCAAAGGGTTGATAAATCGTAAAAAAAATAACACACAAGTAAATCAAGCCTCATTGGGCCGACCGTATTGTGGTTTGCGATTCTACTTTTGTGTTCCAATTTCAGTTGCAGGCATTATTAAGTAATTTCTTTTGGTTTTACCTACTCGGCACCAAGGCAATGTCCTTGTTCGATGTAGTAAGCTTCTTTTGTTTTTTCCAAATAAACTTTTTCCCTTGCATATTTATTTTACACCACATTTATTAAACTTATATAAAATCCTACTAGTTTGTTAGTTTGTTAGTTGTTTTTAGCATCCAATTGTTGAATCACTGTATAACAAAAAAGAAACAGTTAATATCCTTGGGACGTATAATGAGAAAAGAAGGCTTAGAATGTTTGACACACACAGGACATATTGTAGTAAAGACGAACTGAAGGCAAAAGGAAGTAACGTACCTAACAGCCGTATTGGGTATGACGATAAACTACATCCGTGTCCTGGGTAATACGATAAACTACGTCCAAAAGCAAGATCCCTTATCAGGCGGTTTTGAGGAGCGTGGAACCACCATTTAATTGCTGGTGTTACCAGGTCCACCCTGACCCGGGGTGGTAGCACCTCTTAGCGTCCCAACTATGGGTAAATAGTTAACCGTCAAACTGTGGTTAAAACACTATGAACGTGTAAAAATGGGGTTTAATACTTGAAATACTTTGTAAAAATTATTACCAGCAATAAATTTTTGACGAAAAATTATTGCCAGCAATACATTTTTGAAAAAAAATATTACCAGCAAAAATACATTTTTGAAAAATAAATATTTCCAGCTATACATTTAAGAAAAACAAAAACAAACAAAAAATTACCAGCAATACATTTTTGAAAAAAAAGAAAAATACAGCTTGTCCATAAAGTTCGTGTGCACTTTAAAAAATTATAACTTTATTTGTTTTTGTGATAATAATCTGTAAAAAACACTTTAAAAGTTTAATGTACCTCGTTTTAAGTATAGTTAAAATAACTAATGTGACTTCATGCATTACCGTAAATCAGTTGGCAAATGTTTTCCGTGAACTGCAAAATCGTCTGACCCTTTGTATTGCTAATGATGGAGAACATGTGGAAACTTATAAAATTTCAATAAAACCTTAAAAAATATAGATTTACTTTTTCTTTCTAATCCTTTTTACAAATTATTTCTATCGCAAATACAAATAAAGTTATAAATTTTTAAAGTGCACTCGAACTTTATGGACAACCTGTATTCCCAGCAAAAAAAAAAAAAAAAAAAAAAATCTTGTCGGCATTAAAAAAAAATAATAATAATAATCGTTGTGGCTGATATACTGTAAAACAAAATAAACCAAACCAGACCAAACGTAACAAACGGGCTTATGTGAATAAATGGTAGAACTGAGATGGACTGCAAAATCACAGACAATGCGAAGAGCAACAAGAGACAAACCCAGGAATTTGTAGAGAGACTATATTGCGTTTCCGGATTTAATTATGAAAGTTTGAAGCCTGTTAGGATATGCAAAAGAAAATTTCCAGCACCAATCAAAAAATTCGTTCGTTCCCCTTCAAGGAAATCGAATGTCGACCGTGTCGCTTTCAAGATTTTTACGGTGAAAATTCTGCCAATTATAATATCAAAACGATCAGCACAATTACATTCTCTTGTAGACATATAATTTGTTCTCTAAAACTTCTAGAAACCAGTCATTTACTGTCTGCTTCATGAATAAGAATCTCGGAATATCATCAATTTTTATGTTTATAGAAATTGCTGATATGTATTGACGTGTATCATATATATTTCCACATTATACACATCTTTATGTGAAGTATAAAATTTAAACTAATAAGAAATAATGGTTGGTTAAAAAAATGTTAAATGCATAATTAACTGTTTATTTTTCGTATATTTGTAGGTGTAGATTTAGAAAAGTCCTTACGAATGATGTGGATTTATTAAAAAGGGTTTTATATTCATAAATTCCCCGAAAAATTTGGCTTAACCAAAGAAATTAACAGGTTCCAAACGTAACTGAAAGAAACATAAATTTAAAAAAACAAAACAAACAAATATCAGAATTTTTTAAAATTGTTTTTCGTCATATCTCTTTCGACGAAACCTTAATAAAAGTGAGTTAGATTGATAAACGTTTCCTATTTGCTCTTTATCTTATCGTTTTGATACCGGTTCATATTTGATGAATATTTGATAGAATATAGATCGAAGAAAAAGGTAGTGGAGAGAGAAGAAATAGAGGGGGAGAAGAAATAGAGAAACCTAGGATATAGAAAGGAAGAAAAGAAGATAAAAGGAGAAAGAACGAAGATGCAACGATAAATGATAGAGAGAGAGAGAGAGAGAGAAAGAAAGAAAAGAAGGAGAGAGATACAGAGAGAAAGAGAAAAAGAGAGATAGAAATTGGAAGAGACAGAGTAAGAGAAATAAACAAAAAAGAGAGAAAAAACAGTGAGAAAGAGAAGTAGAACGAGAAAAAAAGAGAGAGAGAAAAGAGAGGTAGATAGAAAGAGAGAAACACACAGAGAGTGAGATAAAGAGAGAGAGAGAAATAAAGGATTCAAGGAATAAAATTAAAAAAATGTATTAGAGAAAAAATTTACAAACTGTAAAGAAAAATTTAAAGAAAGATATGAAGGAAAACCTGAAAAAAAAAAAGAGAGATAGGCAAAAATTACAGAGAAAGGAAAAAAGATAGGAAAAAAGAAAATGAAGGAGCTGGTGTGCGGGGAGAGAGAGAAAGAGAAAGAGAGAAGGATAGAAAGAGAAAGAGAGAGAAACAAGATGGAAGAGAAAGAGAAACAGAAAGATTGGGAGAAATAGAGAGATAGAAAGAGAAAGAGGGAAAGCAGTAGAAAGAGAAAAAGAGAGAGAGAAAGAAAGAAAGAGAAACAAAGTCAAATGAAAAAGAGATTGAGAAACAGAATCAGAAAGAGAAAGAGAGAGGTGGAAAGAGAGTGAAGAAGAGAGAGAGAAAAAGAGATATGTAGATAGAAAGAGAAAGAGAGAGAGAGAAAGAAAGAAAGAAAGAAACAGAAATAAGTAATTCAAGGAATAAAGGAATAAGATTAAAAAAATATATTAGAGAAAACGAAAAAACGGGGGCGGGAGCAGAGTGAGAGAGAGAGACAGAGTGAGTGAGAGTGGGTGAGAGAGAGAAAATAAGGCCTTCTAAAAAGATAAGAAAATGAAAACAATGAACTGAGAATAGCAATAATTGTAAAAAATAAGAGACTCCATTGCATAATAATCACAAAAAAAACCGCCCCCGGAAACAATAAAAAAAATTCAGTTTCATATTTAATAAACTAAGAATATTTTTTCTGTGAATCTTTGAGTTTACATTATATATATATATATATATATATATATATATATATATATATATATATATATATATATATATATGTTTTATACGCCGTTCTCCTGACAATTATTTCTTCAAATCAGACTCTATGTCACCCGTCTTGCTTTGATAAATCGTATTGATGTTAAAGAGTCGTTGTCTTTCGTACTTTTTTCCCCAATTTCCCCAATAGTTAAAGAAAATGAAACAAAATGAAATATCAAATAGAACATCTTATATTTATGCACGATATCTAAATAAAAACTAAAAAAAAAAAAATAAAATTGTGCGTTAAAAAGGCAAAAAAATTGTAACCAAACTATCTGAGGATTGTTTAAAACGGACATTATCAATTTTGGTTGTGTTGGTGTTGGGCGAT